TGTTCCTGTTGGGTCGCTTTCGAGAACCACTGGGTCGTCGTCCGGCATTCTTACGATGTGCCCAGCCCACCGTAGTCGTCCAATTTTTGCAATGTGGACGATGGATAGATTTCCTATTAGCTGGTGCAATTCGTGGTTCATTCGCCTCTTCCACGTTCCATCATCCATCTGCACTCCACCGTAGATGGTACGCAACACCTTCCGTTCGAAAACACCAAGTTGTTCCTCCACGAGCATAATCCAGGTCCAGGATCACCGGTCTAATCAGCGTCTTTTAGATAGTCAACTTCCTGCGGCGGCGAATATTATTCAACCGGAGGGAGTCCAAAGTAGGGACGATTCCCTGCCATAATGCGTCTTTGAATGTCTCTGCTGGTATCATTTTCAGCGGTCACAAGTAAGCCCAAATACACGAACTCGTCGACCACCTCGATTTCGTCACCGTCAATCTGAACTCGGGGTGGGAGGCTAACATTGTCTTCTCTTGAACCTCATCTTTTCTTGTATGTTGTCTCCGATGCGTTGATGGCAAGTCCAATCCGCCTAGCTTCTACTTTCAGTCTGATGTACGTTTAAGCAACCCAACTAACATTTTCTGCTTTGTAAGCCAACTTTTCCAGCATTGTGCTGTAAAGTAGCTGAAAAGAAGCTGCAGATACAGCTACAAGCAAAAGCTAGCAAAATAGTTTTGGAGAGTGTTTACTCAACTTTCTCACAACCATTATTCAATTTGTCAGTCGCACTGAATAACATCAGCCAATAAATGCTTATGTCACTTCTATACACACACTAATCAACTTTCAACTTGTAGCTGCAAAACTAAGCTAACAAAGTGAATATATTACTCATTTGATGGCTTCTAAATAACCAACCACTCTTGCTGAATAACATAAATATCAAAAGTGCTTTTTCAACAATTAAACAACCTGTACTCAGCTTATAAACTGTGTTAGAGCAACTTCGGAAGCATTTTCACAGTCAACTAGGTTTATTTTTAGACCTGTGCAGTTTTACAGCTTTTACTCTGCTCTTTTATAACTAGTCGAGAAAAATGATTCGTGTGCACTATTATAAAGCCTCTACTCAGCGATTTTGTTGTAGAAGGGAATGTTGATTTGTTTACACAAGTTCAAAGTGTTGGCGTAGCACAGTTGGTAGTGTCAAGGTTTGCCAATGAGGTCGTCTCGAGTTCGATTCCAGGTTCCGGTGCAGGGTAAATAATTTGGTGATGATTTGTAATTAATTTCGATTAATTTGATTCACAGCAAAATAAACTCAATAAATTCCTTCATAAAAAAGCGTAAACAGTATTTAACCCGGCTTCAAGAGAAAGCTGTGTAGTGATTATTGGATAACCAGGAAAAGGTTGAATAAGCGCCTTTCAAGTTCACACACAACTAAACAGCAGGATAACAGCTGTATAGAAGAAGCGTTAATGGATATGCAATAAGAGCTTCTCCCGACCGTTCCAACAGCCATAAGTAGCTGACTAAGTTCGCCAGATTTGCTTGTATAGAGGTTGAGTAAAGGTTTCCTCATATCGTATAACGTTTGAATACAGCTTGAGGCTGTATAAATGAAATGAGTAAAGCGTTACATTGTGAAAATTGTTAGTTGGGAATCGTCTCAAAGTTCCGTGCCATGATGTCGATGTGTTTTTGCACGATCTTCAGGAAGTCCATCACCTTGTCGTAACCCCCTTCGAGATTCAAAGGGACTCGAGTGTTTCCTCGATACTCGAACAACGCACATCACTCGATCCATCAACGCCTTGACCAATCGCGTCAGTGTATCCGGAAATACGTACTCGTGCATAATCTGCCATAACTGATCTCGATCGATTGGGTCGTATGTGGATTTGAAATCGATGAACAAATGATGTGTGGGCACGTTGTATTCGCGGCATTTCTGCAGAACCTGCCGAATCGCGAAAATTTGGTCCGTGTTCGCCATTTTTGTAGATCGGTAATATCTCCTCCTCACAAATCTTGGCAATTACCCAGTGCAGCGCTCTACACTGAACCAATTTGACATATTCCTGTTATGTGGAAATCTAATAAATTTGCGCTATAAGATAATCAATTGAAAATGATATGATTGAAAATGTGTCAGGTAAATTCTATATGAATATCTGATACATTTACAATGCTGATAATTTGGTAACTTTTATGTGATCGTCATATGATAAATGAAAATCAGTCAAATTATAATAATTAACTGAATGGATTTGAAACCCATAAGCATAAGCTTTACGTTTCACCACAATATAATATATGTGTCATAAATCAATCGAAGTAAAGTTTATGTGAAAATCACATGAAATTTACTTCTTCTTTTGACACATGTATTTAATCGATTTCTAAAAATAAATCGAAAAATAAACATCAGGCAGTGGGAGCTTTCACAGTTGTGTCTTTTTTTATTGTAGCTGATTTGGGATTCGATCAAGAACTGTTGAGGTGTGATGCTTTCGGTTTCTGCGCTCGATTCCACTGGGCTACGGCTGACTTCAAGATTGAGCTCGTTCAATTAGCAAAAGTAAGAACAGCTCTCCTGACATGGAATGTAGTGCAACTTTATGCTCGTTTTGCTAGAGTGAAGACAAATAGCACTGACAAGTTTATGTTCCGTTTCGGTGGTGTCGTTTGTTCAAATCTTTCTTAATGCGCCTGTGTGCAATAAAACAACGACTAAATTATATGAGTTGATGGAACTGGTTCATGAAGTTCGAGTACTAGGGCTGGAATCTGAATTAGCTGTGTAGAAGGCTTACAATAAGAATCACAGCAAAGTAAATATTGCAGTAGAATCATTTTTTTTTTTTCAATCTCAATACATTCTTTTCCGGAACCCCTTATCTTATGAAACAATAACAAACAAAAATTATTCAATACAGTATCATTGTTGTTAGCAATATTTACAATATCAACAATATCAACTAATCAATTTAATGAGTGTACGATAACATCGTTGAAAATTGTTTCAATAATTTATGAAGAGCAATCATGTAAGATGTATTTTATTTTGAGCGATATTCATCCCAGAAAAACATGCCAAAACAAATGTTTGCTGTTGGATTTCTTAAAAGGCAAATCTATATGACTATATAATGATTGGGATAAATCTGTTTACAATCTTTAAACCTCAAAAATCAAAGGAAGCTATTCCAATGAGATATGAGATATACATGTTTTCCTATACTGCAAAGTTAAATGACAGTCCAATAGTTTCTACATGTCTGTTTACACGCGACATATCAACAAACGTCAATTTCTAATAATGCAAACTTATATGATTTTCCATTACTTTCTAGATGTCTGTTCCCACATATATCAACATGACATATCAACAATTTTTCACCATGAAATATATCAGACAATATTCATATACTTTTTACCTATCGCTAACCACGTTCGAAGCAAAGTATTATCAAGTACAAAGTATGTGAAATTACGATAGAAATCATTCCATATCGCAGTAATAGTTTTAAAGTGATAATACAATGGAATCTATCAATCATCACATAGAATGAATAAATCTACTGACATTGCTATGTTATAAGATGGATCCAGTAAACGGTACATGTCGATTTGTTTCAGTGTAGCAAGAGCATCACCACTGTGTTTTAATAGCTCACTTGGTAGTTGATCTACACCACACGGCGAATGAAAACGACCCAAATTTGAGTTTAGTTCACTCATATGAGTAAAATTTGTCTAATGTTTTCCCAGGTTTTTCCAAAATTTTCCAGGGAAAAATTCCCGAATTTGAGAAAAGTAAAGATTGGATTCTATTAGTCTATTGGTACTACTCCGAGACTGAATAAAATTTTCGTCAATGTCCTCATTTTCCGGCAGATTTTTTAGGTTTTCCACAGGAAACCATGAGACAAATTTACTCATCGCTGAGTTCCTGCACTTTTGGCGATTATGAGTGAACTAATCTCAAATTTGGGTTGTTCTCATTCGCTGTGCAGCTGTTTTGAAGATCAGGATTCAATATTTCAATATTCAAAATGTAGGATTTATAGCAAGATTATCTATTCTTCAATCGATAGGCCATATGAATTAAAGAAGGCTACACTAGTGGAAATTAATATAAAGACACTTTAAAAAGCATGGCTCCTCCCAAATCTAAGAATCAGAGGAGTTCTAAATCATTTGTGTTTTGGAAGCCACATTATCATGCTACAATATGAGCCTAAGAAAGAACAAATTGCATCATGTACGTAGGAGAAAAAAAATGGAAATGTTATTTTCTCCTTCGGAAATTGATATAAGGATGCCATACAAAAATGTATGGAAAATTTATAATTTTCGAATCATTATTTAGCATGTCAACAATTATTGTTAGCGGCGCCGGTGGTGTTGTCTTCGTCTTCTTCTTCTTCTTCGCATTTCAAGCTTATTGCATATCGCATAGCTTATGGCGTGCTCTCAACTTAGTGTTCTAGATGCACTTCCACAGTTGTAATAAGTACGCGTCTTTATATTGATTTCAACTGATGTATACTTTCCCTGCTTTTCTTACGGAGCGATTAAAGTCAACTCGTTTATTCAGATGACCAAATTACAAAATTAGAACATCTTAATGCATAAAAACAGACGTAAATCATTAAATATTCTTCCTTAAATATATCGTCACGGAACTCACTAACGACATCTCGAGTGTTATTCGCGGAAAAAAGTTTGCTTGCCAAGTTGCATACAAATTCGATGGAATGTATAGAAACGCCAAAGTGATCCGATGCCAACGATGTGGTGATGGATTCGCGCAACTAACAATATTTATATTGAACGTTAAATGCGTGTACGACCATCGAGGAGAAAGAGTTACGTCTGTTTGTCTGTGATCTTAATACGACGTTTTCTTTTCCGCTGTTGAAGATTTTACTGAGCTAGTTTGAGTGTGTGGGTGACAAGAGGCGCAGAAGGGCTAAGCGGAGCAACTAAGAGCTTAAAAGGAGCGGTGATATCTATCTTTGAAAACACTAGATCCAGTTCGGATAGAATTTGTTTCAGTTTTTATTTAATTATTGCATTAGAACATACAAAAAAATAAGTGTATACTCTGATCCTGTTTCTCGAACTCAATTTGCGTGTAAATCGTAAAAGGGAAAAAAAAAAACTTAAAATAAAGACTCTTTCAACAAAAAATAATAATGTATAAACTTCACGAGCTTCTCATAATGTTTGCTAACAGGCTTGCTCCTGTATTGCTGTTCTGCATGCACATCTGCATTCCATGTTGTTGTAAATGCATATAAAAACCATTTTCATTTCGCATCCCGTTCGATTATACTGATAAAGATACCTTTTTTTAAACCTATGAGCTCACAGGGTCAAAGAGGACAGGCATCGAGAAAAAGGAAATGATTTGAAAAAAAAAAAAACTGTTTAACTAAAAACTATCTCGACTGGTACCCGCGCGAGAAATCAGATGGCGCTGATTTGTGAGTAAAAAAGTGGATTTTTGAATCGGGTTTGAGCATATGTACTTTGATTTAAAATTTCTAAAAAATTTCCTACCATACGCTGTTTGCTGTTGTGTGTGTGTTTGTGTGTTTATTTTTTGTTCCGTAAGAAACTTAATGCAACTCAAGAGATGAACGACAGAACTGGACTGACTTATTTAGTTTTAACCTTCTTGGAGGCCTTTCCACCGGCCGGGGCCGGCGAAGCCTGGGCGGCATTCTGATCGGCTTCGGGCAGATCGCTTTCCTTCTTGCGTTCCTTCTTGGACTTTTCGCTCTTGACCAGGGCCTGCTTCTGGGGACGATCGGACTGCTGTTCGGTCGAGCTTTCACGCTTCGATCGCAGCACGTTAGAGATAAAGTCGAAGATCAGGTAACCCTGCAGGCCGAAGACCGTGGCCAGCATGAAGCTACGCTTCATTTGCGACACGTTGTCGATTCCGTAGAACAGCGTCAGGAAGGCCAGCACCATCGTGGCGAAGCGGGTCAAGATGAACACCACATTGTGGGCCAGGCGCACTGTGAAAAAATAATTATAAAGGTGAGTGAAATAAGCGCGAACCCGTAGCCAGTCGATTGGAAAATCCGGTCGATTTTACAATGGAAAAGTGAAAGGCCTACACTTACGTCGTACAAACTTCTCCTCCTTGTCGAAAATGTTAACCAGTTGGAATGCGTGAGAGATGAACTCGCAGAAGTAGTGCAGAGTCAGCAGGACCAGAGCGATGCGCTGGAATCTGATGTAATAACAAATGTTTTAATGATTATTATTATATCAACCAGTTTCGAACGCTTTCATCTCTATACTCACCCTAGGAAGTAGGCAGTAGCGATGAGGAAGAACCCACCGAGGGCATGCTCAACCTTGGCCCTCTGTTCATCCTTTTTCACCTTCTGGAAGTACAGTTCCGGCAGCATGTGCAGATAGTACGCCAGCTGAATGATGAAAAACAGCTTATGCAGGAACATCATCGGGTGCTCGGGGAAGCCCTCCCACAGTTTGGCCATGTTGCCAATGTACTGCTCCCGGACGATCACGTCGAAGCCCCACAGGAAGGACATAGCGTAGAACACTACCAGCTGACCGGATTCGTTGAAGCGGGACAGCTTGAACTTGGACAGGTGCAGCTTCTTGGAGATTTTCTGCGAATGAATATCATTGTTAGAGCGGTTGAAAAAGCCATACGAACAAACCACTTACATCCAAGACGTACTCCTGCAGGATGGCGTGCATGATGATGCAGATCAGGGTGTAGAAAAACACCGCACAGCCATCCTTCCAGCCGGAGGTGTAGAAGTAGGGTTCACCCTGGGGGTTCTCATGGCTCGGATCGGCACCAGTGACGTTGTGGTGCAAGGCAATGAAGATGCTGGCGATCGAGTTGGTGGCCTGGAAGAGGTGTTTAAAGCGACAATCTGGTTGTTAATATCGAATTTATTTCTGATTCGGGTTCAACCTGGATCGGGAATCCGAATAGTGTCTGCTCGTTTTATGAAATGTAAGTGATGCTCAACAAATCTTGCACTAGCCAATCAATCTTCTAAAAATTTCATTTCTCGCTCTTGCATCGCGCAAAGTACGGCAGGAAATCTTCAGAATCGTCATCAATCTTATTTGGGGGTTAGAAGGAAAGGGGTGTAAGTGACTTAGATCGACTTATAGACACAGCTTTATAAACAGATTTCGCGCTATTTCTGCCACATAGTTTGATAAAGGAGGTTCTCCTCTAGCATCCAGAATGGCACACGAATCAAGGAATGTGTTTGCAGCTAGATTATTAACAAAAGAGAAAGTCGATGAAGAGAATCGATCAAAGGCACTTAAACCCTATTTCTTCTATCCCCCTCATTTCTATCTACTCATCGTGCGCTCAGCTAACCATAGCAACACACAATTTTTCCTGCATCGTACACAGAGTCGCCACCCTCGCAATTTCCCGACTTTTCCTAACATAACGAAACGAAAATTTTGCTGTCAAAAGAAGCTTTCAGCGACCGCTAGGAGTGGCGCTACTTGACTAGCCTACTGGTCCCAAGCAAATCGATTAACGTACCCCATTATAGTCGAAATTCTAGTACTACACTATGTTTGTTTTGATTCGCTATGAAAGTTTGGCAGATAAAGTAAGGGGTTCGTGGATTTTCCTATGTTTTGAGGGGTGCATCGATTAGCTTGGGACCGAAGATAGTACCAGAGCTGAGCCAAAAAGTTGAGCACGTTTCTTCGGGACCTACTAGTCTTAGAGTTACCTCTATGGTAGCGCAGCAACGCATTGAAAAATGAGCAAATACACAAACCTTTATTCTGAGGATAGAACCACAGACAAACAGACGTAACTCTTCATTGTGTATCTTCGTTCATGCATTTAACGGTTGATTTGAATATTATCAGTTCCGCGAACTACTCGCCGCAGCGCTGGCATCGGATCACTTTGACGTTTCTATATATTATATAGAACTTTTATGCAATATTGTTTACGAGTTAGCGAGCATGCTTGTTTTCCGCGAGAAGCCAGATAGGTGTCGCTACTGAGGTTATATGTTTTGAGATACTATGTTTTCAAGAACAAGTTTTTCAAAGAGTTACGTCTGTTTGTCTGTGATAGAACCTTTGCTATCCAATTCGTTCGGAGCATTTACCTTCGAGCGGCAGATGACGCGATTCTGCCTGTCTCATACCAGACGTATGAGAAAATGGAAGAGTTGCCAGTCTTCTTGATATGTTGTCGTCGATAGAAGGCTATTTGATTCACTCTGACATTTTCTTAAAATTATTAACTGGGTTTGCTGTATTGGAATTACGCTGGAATCCTCCTCAGAATTCGGTTGGAAATTTACTTTGAATCCTACTCATGATTCTCTTGGGATTCTTTTCTGAACTACCTTGGAATTCTCGTTACGGTTCAAAAGGAATGCTAAAATATCACTTGTTTTCCTCACAATTCATCCGTAGGAATTATCCAATGAATTTCGAGTATCTTGGAAATTCTCATCAAATTCATTCAGCAATGTCCACAAGCTGTGGAACTTTTGCAAACCCTTGGTTTTTAATATTCACTTTTTGACGTTTTGAACATTTATTTTCTATCGAGATTCTTAAAAATTTCCTTAAGTCTGATTGTATTAGGTCAAGGGTTTTGAAAAAAAACTGTCTAATTTTTTCTAATCCATATCTCAGAACCCCAACAATTCAAGTTTCAATGTGTGAAGATAAATCGATTCCAGAATCATTATGTCCAATGAGTAAAAGTATATAACGAAGAAGATAAAGTTGGTTGTAGTATAAAATGTTTAGAAATGTATTGGCGTAGTTTAATATGATATTCTTATTTTTAAGTATTGCTTGGATTGTAATTGCCACACAATTTACGGGTACTTATGCAAAAATCCTACAGCTACAGAAAGCTCCCAATTAACACTCCAAACACGATGCATCCGGCAAAACGACTATCCTGCTACGGTTTCTTGTGACTTCCGTAAAGCTGACCACCGTAGCATCATAGATGTATTGTCTAGCATGGTATGGGAGAACATCCTTGATGCAGATGACGTTGAGGCTGCAGCGCAAACCTTTTCACATGTCTTGGCATATGTCATTGACAGGCACGTCCCAAAAAGAACTCACCACAAAGTGTCTCACCCTCCCTGGCAGACGAGATATACGTAGCTATCTAGGTTGAAGTCAATCAAGAGAGCAGCATTGAGAAGATTTACGAAGTATCGCATGCTTCCTCTGAAACTACATTATGTGAGGCTGAATCACATGTACCAGCGAGTCAGTCGTGAATGCTTTTCAAGTTTCCAACGAGGCAGCCAGCGCAAACTTAAGCTACACCCGAAATCCTTTTGGACCTACGTGAACGAGCAACGCAGGGAATCCGGCCTCCCATCGTCTATGGAATTCAATGGAGAAGTTGCTGCCAGCGTTCAGGATATATGCCACCTTTTTTCTGAAAAGTTTGCCAGTGTATTCACTAATGAGATACTAACTGACGACCATATTAACCTGGCTGCCAGGAACGTTCCAGTAAATGATCAAACGCTGGGTGCAATTGATGTTAATGTTGAGATGATTTCTAAAGCCGCGACTCTGCTCAAGTCATCTTTCAATCCTGGACCTGATGGAGTTCCATCAGTATTTTTGAAGAGACATATTGCTAATTCCGCTTCTTCGCCTGTTCCGAATGTCTCTCTCCAGTGGCATATTTCCATCTTGCTGGAAATTTGCGCACATGTTTCCCGTCCACAAAAAAGGAAGGAAACGAGCTGTGGATAACTATCGAGGAATTACATCGTTAAGTGCCGTTTCGAAGCTATTCGAGCTAGTGATTATGGAACCGTTGCTGTCCCATTGCAAGCAGTATTTGAGTGCTGATCAACATGGGTATACTGTCGGCCGCTCTACAACCACCAATATCTGCTGTGTCTCACATCGTATATAATCGAAAGCATGTCGGATCGGGTTCAAACGGACGTTATTTATTCAGACCTATCCGCAGCATTCGACAAGTCGAACCATACTATTGCGATTGCTAAACTCGGCAGGCTCGGTGTATGCAGTAATCTTCTGAGTTGGTTTCGATCATATCTTACCGGTCGGCAACTAAAGGTTGCCATAGGAGATTGCAGCTAGCTTCTTCGCCACATCAGGTATACCTCAGGGAAGCCACATGGGACCGCTAATTTTTATACTGTACTTCAACGACGTGCATCTGGTCATCGAAGCTCCTCGGTTATCATATGCAGATGACCTCAAAATCTTCCTACGAATCTGCTACATTGTTGACTGTCACTTTCTTCAACGTCAGCTAAATGTATTCGCTAGTTGGTGCAGTTTAAACAGACTGGTAGTGAATCCAACCAAATGCTCCGCTATTACGTTCTCACGAAAACAACAACCGATAATATTTCTAACCGACAGGTAGGACACGCTCCACGTTTCCGACCAGGTACAAATTCCTCTGCTGTTAACAACGGTCAGCGAGGAACAAATTCTACATTCGTACCCGTAGGTACAAATATCACCCCTGCTTCAAATGTTTCATCTGTACCTACTCCCCTCGCTGCTAACAATGTTCAGCGAGTTAATGGAGCTACCTATGCTGCTATTGCAGCGGGTAGAAATCAAAATACTAACCAACGTTCTAACGGAAATTTTGACAATTTTGACTTAGGAAGCATTACTGCCCCTAAAATGGAATTTTTACAGAATTCATTAATTGACATGATTTCTGATATGCTTAAATCTAACTCCATGTTTGATGCTATTCAAACTGGAGTAAAATTTGCTAATAATATTGTCATGACTTTAAAATTCAGTAATGGATTTTAAAGCATTAAACATTTTAAATTGGAATGCTCGATCTCTTAAAGATAATGAAGACGAGCTATTTAATTTTTTGAGAGTTCATAACGTGCATATTGCCGTTATAACTGAAACGTTCCTTAAACCTGACCATAAGGTTAAGAAGGACGCAAATTATTTGATTTATAGAAATGATCGTCTTGATGGACCCTGTGGTGGCGTTGCCATCATTATTCATAGACGAATCAAACACAAAATACTTTCTTCATTTGAAACCAAAGTTTTTGAAACTTTGGGAGTTTCTGTTGAAACAAAATTTGGACAACTTACGTTTATAGCTGCCTATTTGCCATTCCAATGCGTAGGCCAGCAAAAGAATTTTCTCAAGGGTGACCTCCAGAAACTTACCCGTCATAGGTCTAAATTCTTCATTATTGGTGATTTTAATGCAAAACACCGCTCATGGAATAATGCTCAAAGCAATTCCAATGGTAATATTCTGTTTGATGATTGTTCTGCAGGTTATTACACTATTCAATATCCAAACAGCCCAACATGCTTTTCTTCTGCAAGAAATCCCTCAACTATTGATTTGGTCTTAACTGATTCATGTCATCTTTGTAGCCAATTGGTTACCCATGCTGACTTCGGTTCTGATCACCTTCCAGTAACTTTTGAAATATCCCAAGAAATAATTTCTAATCCCAACAGTTCTACTTTCAATTACCATAGAGCTGATTGGGAGCAGTATCGAACATTTATGGAATATAACTTCGATCCAAACATTCCTTTGCAAACCAAAGATGAAATTAATTATGCTCTTGAATCTCTGACTACTTCTATAGTTGAAGCAAGAGCTGCCTCAGTACCAAAATGCGAGGTTAAATTCGATTCAATTATAATAGACGATGATCTTCAGCTCTTGATCCGTCTTAAAAATGTCCGTAGGAGACAATTTCAAAGAACACGCGATCCTGCCATGAAGGTTATCTGGCGGGATTTGCAAAAACAAATTAAAAAGCGATTCTCTGCCCTGAGGAACAAAACTTTTGAAAATAATATTTCTAAATTAGACCCAAGTTCCAAACCCTTTTGGAAACTCACAAAAATTTTGAAAAAACCTCAAAAGCCAATTCCAGCGCTAAAAGAAGGTGGTAAAATTTTGATCACAAATTTGGAAAAAGCTCAGAAACTTGCTAAGCAATTCGAGAGTTCCCATAATTTCAGTTTGGGTCTTACTAGTCCTATTGAGAATCAGGTTGCTCGGGATTTTCGGAATATTTTCTCTCGGGAAAATATTTTTGATGATTCCTGGGGGACTGATTTGGACGAAGTAAGGTCTATAACTAAAAAATTTCAAAATATGAAAGCTCCAGGTGATGATGGAATTTTCTATATCCTCATCAAAAAACTCCCAGAGAGTACCTTGTCTTTCCTGGTAAAATTATTTAACAGATGTTTCCATTTGGCATACTTTCCTGATAAATGGAAAAATGCAAAAGTTGTTCCAATTTTGAAGCCGGATAAAAATCCAGCTGAAGCTTCTAGCTACCGCCCAATAAGTTTGCTTTCTTCAATAAGTAAACTTTTTGAAAAGATAATTTTGAATAGAATGATGCTTCACATCAATACGAACTCAATTTTTGCAGATGAGCAGTTTGGATTTCGCCATGGGCATTCAACTACTCATCAACTCTTGAGAGTTACCAATTTAATTCGTTCAAACAAATCTGAAGGCCACTCAACTGGAGTTGCTCTTTTAGACATAGAAAAAGCATTCGACAGTGTTTGGCATGAAGGTTTGATTGCTAAATTGAAAAGGTTTAATTTTCCACTTTATATTATGAAATTAGTTCAAAATTATTTAACTGACAGAACTCTTCAAGTAAATTATCAAAATTCCAAATCTAATCGACTACCTGTTAGGGCAGGAGTTCCTCAGGGTAGCATTCTTGGGCCTATATTGTATAACATTTTCACTTCGGACCTCCCTGATTTGCCTCAGGGTTGCCACAAATCTTTGTTCGCTGATGACACAGGCATTTCCGCTAAAGGAAGAAGTCTTCGTGTTATTTGCAGCAGACTGCAGAAAAGTTTAGATATTTTCTCTTCTTATTTACAAAAATGGAAGATTTCTCCCAACGCTTCCAAAACTCAACTTATAATATTTCCACATAAGCCTAGAGCTTCGTTTTTGAAACCTAGTAGTAGTCACATAGTCACTATGAACGGAGTTCCAATTTCCTGGTCAAACCAAGTGAAATATCTTGGATTAATACTTGACCATAAATTAACTTTTAAAGATCACATTGAGGGCATTCAAGCCAAATGTAACAAATATATAAAATGTTTGTATCCTCTTATAAACAGGAAATCCAAACTTTGCCTGACGAATAAACTTCTAGTATTTAAACAAGTTTTTAGACCGGCCATGCTTTACGCTGTGCCAATATGGTCTAGTTGTTGCACTACCAGGAAAAAAGCACTTTAAAGGATTCAGAACAAAATTCTGAAGATGATTTTGAAGTTGCCTCCCTGGTACAGTACTACCGAAGTACATAGAATTTCGAATGTTGAGACTTTAGCACAAATGTCCAACAAAATAATTAATAATTTCCGGCAAAAATCGTTACAATCCTCAATTGCAACGATTAATTCCCTTTATACTTAGATAAGATTTAGTTTTAGTTATTTAGTTTTAAGCTATCAATTGTTATACTGACATGCAGGTTTAAAAAACCTGTTTAAAATACTGAATTGCCAAGACAGGAACAATGTAAAAACACTTAGATATATATCATAACAATTAAGGCTGGTAAGTTACTGTAGTAACTGGAGCACCTAGGTTAAAAATGAAATGTAATTTATTTTGAATTTGGAACAAATAAAGAGTTAAAAAAAAAAAAAAAAAAAAAAAAACCGATAATATTTAGCTATGACCTGCTTGGTTCGACAATCGAACGGGTGAATCAGGTGAAAGACTTGGGTGTGATCTTGGATTCGCAGCTTTCATTCAAGCAAGACATTGAATATGTTGTTGATAAGGCGTCAAGAACATAACTGTCTAAAATCTCTCTATTGTTCGCTTGTTCGATCGACGCTTGAGTATTTTTCAGCGGTTTGGAACCCAAACTACAACAACGGTGCCGAGAGAATTGAATCTGTTCAACATCGCTTTCTTCGTTTTGCGTTGCGTAGATTGTCTTGGAATGATCCGTTTCGATTACCCAGTTACGAAAGCCGTTGTCAACTTATCGACCTAGAACTTCTCCGGACTAGAAGAGACACAAGCAGAGCCCTAACCGTGGCCGACATCCTGCAAGGAAGGACAGATTGCGAGGCTATCCTGAGGCAAATTGACCTGAATGTTCAATCCCGACCGCTTCGTAATAACCTTATGCTAAGACTGCCTCTACGTCGCACAAATTTTGGAGCATACGGTGCGATTTGCGGACTGCAGAGGACATTCAAGAGAGTTGCATCTGTCGACTTTCATCTCTCCCGTGATGCGCTTCGTCCGAAAGTTTTCTTCTGTTTTTCGCCGGCAGGAGTAACTGACTATAAGATATACACACTCAGATTATTTTACAGGAGTCAGTATTTTTTTACTGGGTTTTTTTATTGCTGAAAAAGTCGGTAAAAATTCAAATGACCGTTATCCATAAGGAATCAATGAAATCGACAAATTTTATTTTCTATCATTAAATGGGATTAACAGAGCTAAGTATGTACAAGTTTAGAACAAATTTTCCCATTTATTAATTTTCCACAGATTTTTAAACTTTTACCGAACAGTTCCGTAATTCAAAAACCCCGTAAAACCATACTGACTGGATTAGTGTGTATGTTTTTTAATGTTTTTTTTATGTTATGACCATGCTTGAATGTATTATTTTTATACACAAGGTAAAAAAATCCTCCTTGAATTTTTGTCAAACGGGGTAGAGCCGCTTTAAAATATTTTTAATTTGGAAATTTTACGATTAGGAAAAACCACAATTTGTGCTCAAAAAACGAAGTTCTTTCAGATTATGTCTAAAACTCGATATTTTATTCCAACTTAAAGAACCCAATTGCTGTATCAGCTTTAAAACAAACACTCCGAAAAAAGTGTGTTGAATTAATAGCTTGTGCTTTAATTTAATAATAAATTAGTATATGTATCATCTACAACAAAAATATTGTTAACTACAGAAACCAAAATTGTAGACAGGTATGCAGTAGTAATTGAATATTAAAAATTAAATTAATAAGCCTTCTTATTCAATCCACGAAATTTAAACCCCGGATCAAAAGTGAAATGGCAGAATAAAATGTTTTGCCTCTGAGTCCAGAAAGGCTTTTAAGCATTTACTAAAAAAAAAAAGTATATTGACCACTCCATCGCGCCGCACTTGACCCACTGTGAATAGTGCAGTGGCCGTTCACTGCTGCATAATGTACATGTATACAATGTAGTATACGACATACCACGGCGCAGAGAGGTTAGGTTATAGGTATTGGCTGCTGTGTATGGCAAAATATACCTTCCACTCTAGCCGCTACGTGGCAAAATCGACAGATAAAAGAGAGCAAAGACAAACATCGAACCGCAAGCTACAGCCACCCTCTCAAGGCAAGATTCAACTTCAAAGCGGCACATTTTTTCTTACGCATGTTCTTCAAATTGAAATTCTGACTCGATTCGTTAATGATAACACACAGCATAGGCTATTCTAAATCCCAGAAACAGAACTTTCTTACCTGAAGCATCAATCCGACGACGAAAACCATCGCGACGCAGGACACAATGTCGGCATGATTCTGGATAACGAATTCATGGCTCAGAAAGGGTGGGTTCTTGGTGGAAACCTTCCGTCCCATTCCCGGTTTGATGGCCATCGTTGTTGCTAGATTCTCCGGGAATTCCTCTCGTTCAAACACAGATTCTTTTGCAACCCGTACTCCTGGCACTAATCACGAAAACAACTGACTGCACTCTGTTCGAGCTTCCACGTATCACATAGCCCGGGGGGTAAATTGCCGAGGGGGAAAGGACACCTTTCACAAGCACTTACTGGTGTCACTGGGACCTTGAGGATTTTCGAGTCCGGTTTGTTATGATGTGTCCCAAGAGCGGTTCGGTTCCTATCGACGACCAGCCCCGTCCGAGTACCGAGAAATGAAAGGCTCTTCTGCTGCTGCTGCTAAAAGCAAGTTTGTTGCGAGAAAAAAAATCCCACTCTCAGCACCTTCTTATTCGCGTACTAAGTCTCTACTGCTCGCGGCTCGTTGAATCACCGTGCGCTGGAAAAGGAGGAAGCAACCAATAACAAATCCGTACGCAAGCTGTCCCCCAAAGCACTTCCAAGAGGAGCTACGTGGTGGCGAGTTGTCAGCATCCGAAGCGAAGAGAGAACTGTCACTCCCGGATCAGCTGTCAGCGTGACAGTTGAGCAAACTGGGGAATGGACCCCTGCGGATGTTATGCAGCGTTACGTTCCAAACAACTTTTCAATATAAGCCTGTATACACTGAAATTAATTATGTAGTAAATTGATCTTAAACCCAGCGTTTATTTCTACCATGCCATATAATGGTAAAATCCACTGACCACCCTAATAAAAATAACCATAAAAGAGAGCTTAACGACGTGTTCGGGGTATCATCCAAACCATTTGTGGGATAATTTACCCATCCGGGATATAGTTCGTTTATGGTATTTGTTTATTAGGGCATACTGTTATTATAATCGTATTATAGTAGAAAATCTTAAGCCAATAGCAAAAATGTCATAGTAGATTTCAGAATTTTTTGTAGTCCTCACAAATAAATTATTATGGTCAAATTACTATTGATATGGTAGCTTCAACCTCAACTTCAACAACATTATCTAAACATAGTGGATGCACAATTTTCATCCTACATCTCATTTTACCATACACGCAGTTAAAATAAAAACATGTCACCGACAATTTTTTACCAACTACATTTTATGTTAGGATTACCATCTGCATAGTAATTTTCAGTGTACATCGAAAACTTGCACTTCGCCATTTTGATAGCATCAAATTTATTCCGAAGAGCTCCGCGCGTGGTTGAGATTTTTTTCAGTTTTGCTTGTTTTTGTGGAAAATTAAAAGTGTTTCATAATGATAAATGATAATCCGATTGAGGAAATTAGTATTACCGTGGATAACAGACTGGATGACCCAAACAATATTGACGGTAAAGCGTTAATCTAAAACGTTTCCGATTGGGATATCCGCGATGCTTTTTTTTTTCTTTGCAGAAAGAGATCACATTCCGGAACTGGAAGAAATAATTTCTGAATGGAAACTTGATCCGGCCATTTATGCTATCCTTGTCCGTAAGTATGAGTATGTGTGAACAAATAATACTATATTGAATGTGCAAAATTTTAATTACGAGCATGGAATTTGTGTCAAATATCTCAAGCTAGTGGAAGAGAGATGGACTGGCCACAAATATGCGCTGCGGCAAAAATTTGTTTCGTGGCCGGAAAGTGTTCTATATCATACAGCAACAACATCGAAAACCATCAATTCTATTCCGACCGAAGTTACAGCTCCTCCAGCTATGGTGCTATGCAAACAGAATCCACTCAAGCATCGATTGCTTCCCACCTCCGTGACAGCTGCGTTACTGGATGACATCTTCAAGCGGAACGAAAAAGGAAACATTGTCGTGAAACATTTTTTACAGAATAAGAAGCTCGATGCTGTTCACCGGAAATACTTGGCCAATACGGTCGTCGACTATTATATAGCCAACGACTTATATTTTCCTCTTCCGGATATGTCAAAACTTGCTCAACTAATTGCGGAAAGATTTCCAAACTAGCTAATCGTAAATTAACTTCGTTGCTCCAACCATTTCAACACACTTCTTATACGTTTTTTTTTATCTTTTGTGCAGGAAACGTACTTTCATCCCAGAGACGTGAAGGTACATAAGAAACACCCTACTGGTTTAATTTATGACCGTTTCCAAAATCGGAACAAGAAGAAGTTCGTCCAATCCAGATCATCAAGTGACAAGGAAACAACGTTTTTTTTATGCAAAATCGGTAGTTCTAAAACTTTCTCACGATGGTAAGTAAACCGTATTTCTCGACAAGCAAGTGAAAAGGGCCAAGGAGCCACATGTAGACATCCGCTTCAAATGCGTTGTATTCCAAGCACTCATCAAACCAACACGGACTTCCACACGTAAATTACCCACAATATTGCAGGCGCAAACTGATGTCTGTTGTATATGTGCAACCCACGAGGAATACGTAAGTGAGTGGCGTTCACTACGTCGAGAGTTTGAGACAGCAAAACTTCAACTCCCACCTCGTATCTTCATTGTTGGATGTTTCGACGAAATTGAAGGATTCTACGTTGTGACAGGAAAGATTGAGTACAAACTTCCAACGTTTCTTCGTTGCCTGGATGTCATTGTTAAGCTGAAGTACGTGCTGAACTACCAATTTCCTGAGAGCTGTGAGTTATTCTGGTGCTTCGTGACCAGATTCTTTTACAATATCGACTACAAAAGAAAATCGAAAAACAATCAACTTCTACAATTGATCGCCTATCTGGAAACTGGAGATAATGGATTGTCATCTGTGCCGTAACTCGTTTCCCGCACTCAATATCCTATTACACCACATTCGGATAGAGCATGGGGCTCCTTCCATTTCTAATTTCAAGTGTGCAGCATGCAAACTAGCCGCTTAGTTCAAGGATATCTACCGGTTCAAACGGCATGTCAAATTTCGACATTCTGCCTTATTTGAAAGCTCCAGCACACCAATTGAAACACACGAGGAAATCCACAACAACGAATCCAGCATGATTCCAGAGGAACGTTGTTTTCAAAGAGAAACAACTGAAGATACATTCAATGATGCGGGTAGCAGTATCGAAAAACTTGAGAAAGCTAGTTGTAGAGAAGAAGACATTTTAGATAAAAGAAGTAGGTTAAGAGAAGATTTTGACGAAACCGACGGTAGAGTCAGGGCAACGAAGTGGAATATCAGCGGACGGATTCGGACCTGTTGTGGAAATAATGGAACTCGCGAGAAATCACTTTAACTACGTTTATTGATCGAGCGTAAAATCGAGCGTAAAATACAATGCAACCGAACGCGGTAGCAGTTACTTTTGGAATGATAATGATGTTCGTTGCCTTCTCTCTCGTACCCCGAGTGTGCCAAGATATATAGAGAGGAGTAGAGGTGGGTTGAAGTGGTAACTGTTGTATCGTTCCACAGATTTTCTAAGCTTTACTATGAAAGTAAGAAAAATTTGAGCAGGAAAGATGTAATTGAACTACAGCATAATATTACTGAACATATTGTTATGCCAATCATTAACACTCTATGCAAAATAGCATGATCCACAGTATCTAGATTTAGTCAACGACATCCGTGATCCATTTAATTTCATATGCACAGAGCAAAGATTCAATAGTCAGCTTCAACATTTGAATCTTAGACAGGCTCCTCAAGTTATAACTTTTAAGGACAATGACTCCAATATTGTATCGAAAGGGTGTCTTACACCTATCAAATTTCAAATCAAAACGTTTTTTGAAACTGGAACAATTTTTAAGGAAACAATGCAGAATATGACCAGATTAGAACAGAACGATTTGGAGCCGAACCAGCCCAAGGCTGAAAGCCTCCTTAATAAAGCTAAATAATAATAATAATAACAGAACGATGAGATATCAAATGTTGTTAATGGCACCCTATGGCAAACAGTAAAACCAATGTACGTCAATCAAATAGTTATTCCATATATTTTTATTTTCTGATGAAGCAGAAATGAACGACGCAATTGGTGCTCATTCGGGAACACACAAAGTATGTGGACTTTTATAAAAGCGTCCGATTTTCTAGAACGAGGACCATCAGAGGCTTTGGTCAAACTACTTACCTTACCAATTAGGTTAAGGCCTTGTTGTCCTCTGCTGTCCGAAGAAGTCGTCTCCACTCTACTCGATCCATGGCCACAGTTCGCCAGCCTCGTAGTCTGCGAAGGGTCCGCAGGTCACCTTCTACCTTGCCCGCTGCGCGCCTCTTTTTCTTGTTCCTGTTGGGTCGCTTTCTAGAACCATTTTCACTGGGTCGTCGTGCGGCATTCTTACGACGTGCCCAGCCCACCGTAGTCGCCCAATTTTTGCGATGTGGACGATGGATGGTTCTCCCAGCAGCTGGTGCAATTCGTGGTTCATTCACCTCCTCCACGTTCCGTCATCCATCTGCACTCCACCGTAGATGGTACGCAACACCTTCCGTTCGAAAACACCAAGGGCGCGTTGGTCCTCCACGAGCATAGTCCAGGTCTCGTGGCCGTAAAGGACCACCGGTCTAATCAGCGTCTTGTAGACAGTCAACTTCGTGTGCCGGCGAATTTTATTCGACCGGAGCGTCCTCCGGAGTCCAAAGTAGGCACGATTCTCTGCCATAATGCGTCTTTGAATTTCTCTGCTGGTATCATTTTGGGCGGTCACCAGTGAGCCCAAATACACGAACTCATCGACCACCTCGATTTCGTCACCGTCAATCTGAACTCGGGGTGGGAGGCTAACATTGTCTTCCCTAGAACCTCTTCCTTTCATGTATTTTGTCTTTGATGCGTTGATGGCAAGTCCAATCCGTCTAGCTTCAGCCTTTAGTCTGATGTACGTTTCCGCCATCATCTCAAAGTTCCGTGCCATAATGTCAATGTCATCGGCGAAGCCAAGGAACTGGATGGACTTCCTGAATATCGTGCCACTCGTGTCTATCCCAGCTCTTCTGATCACACCTTCTAACGCGATGTTGAACAACAGACACGAAAGTCCATCACCCTGCCGTAACCCCCTTCGAGATTCAAAGGTGACTCGAGAGTGTCCCCGATACTCGAACAACGCACATCACTCGATCCATCGTCGCCTTGACCAATCGCGTCAGTTTATCCGGAAGTTCGTACTCGTGCATAATCTGCCATAGCTGATCTCGATCGATTGTGTCGTATTCGGATTTGAAATCGATGAACAAATGATGTGTGGGCACGTTATATTCGCGGCATTTCTGCAGAACCTGCCGAATCGCGAAAATTTGGTCCGTGGTAGCGCGGGCACCCATGAATCCCAACTCTCTTGCATATGGTGACAGGCGGCGGCATAGAATTTGGGAGAGTACCTTGTAGGCGGCGCTCAGCAGTGTGATCGCGCGGTAGTTGCAGCAATCCAACTTGTCGCCCTTTTTGTAGATTGGGCATACGACACCTTCCATCCACTTCTCCGGTAATATCTCCTCCTCCCAAATCTTGGCAATTACCCAGTGCAGCGCTCTAGCCAGTGCTTCACCACCGTATTTTAATAGCTCACTTGGTAGTTGATCTACACCAGTTGCTTTGTTGTTCTTCAGCCGACCGATCTCCTCCTCAACTTCTTGAGGATCAGGAGCCGGTAGCCTGTCGTCTTCTGCGCGTGCTCCAAGGTCTGTTGCCGGTCGAACTAATTAATGTTTTAATTGAATTTGAACAAAATGGCGTGGATTTGAACGTAGAAAATCGTGTAGCAAGGGTCTATGTTGTGCTAATGGGAATTCTGGGAGATAATTTAGGTATCAACATGTTGATGGGATACGTAACGTCATTCAGTGCCCTTTTCTACTGCCGATTTTGCAGCCTAAATAAGTACGATTGTCAGAAATCCATCAAATTAAACTCAAATTTGAATCGAACAAAGGAAACGTATGAAAAAGATTTAACTAAAAGTTGTAAAGATACGGGAATTAAAGAAGTATGTGGTTTTAATAGATTACAGAACTACCATGCTGGAGAGTTTGCTATAATTGATGTGATGCATGATTTTTATTCTCATGGTATCTGCGCCTACGATCTTTCCTTTGTTTTTATTATATGATTCTAACGCTAAAAATTTCTTTGGATGTAATTAATTATCGTTTAAAAATGTTCAATTACGGGAACACTGAGAAACGAAATACTTTTAAGGCTATTACTAAACATCAACTAAAATCATCATCATTTAAAATTACTGCTAGAGAAATTATGCTCCTTGTTCGCTATTTCCCTTTAATATTTGGAGATTTAGTTCCACAAAATGATAGAGTCTGGAATTTTATATTGTCATTAGTAGAATTGGCTGATTACATTTCCAAGCTATGATTTTAAGATGTTGGATGTATTAGCAGAGCAAATTAAATATCACCATACACTATGGCAGAAGCTATTTAACACGACCTTGAAACCAAGATATCATATACTATTACAATACATCGAAGTAATCAAGAAAGTAGGACCTTCTAGGTATACTTGGAGTTTTCGGTTCGAGGCTATGCATCAGTTATTCAAACAGTACTGTCGAAACATAACATCACGCCGAAATATATGCTTGACTTTATGTATTAAAGCTAATCTCTTCTTCATGCAGAATATGAAAAATTGGTCTGAACAACACATTTCATTTAAGAACGCTATACGTTTGAATGTTTTGGAATTGCCATACTACACTTCAATAAAATCACCAGTAAACTTGCCATCTACTTTTTTCCATGCCTGTAGAGAAATATCGTACAAAGGCACAGAATACAAAATTGGTCATTTTGTTACAAAATCTGAAAACAACGTGCGAAGTGTCAAATTATTTGAAATTAAAGACTTGCTTGCTTACAACGATCAGTTATTTATAGCATGCCAGACATGGGAAGTAGGAGACTATTCGTACCATTTTGCATCGTTTGAAATTTTTGATAGCGTCCCAGAATTTCAGATTCTGAATGTGGATCAATTTGATGGACCACCGATACATGTATATAATGTAGGATTAAGAAAGTTTTTGTATAAATACGCAAATAAACAATGTAACAAAAACATGTCACCAAAAGTAGAATGGAAGAAACCATGGTAAAAAAACGTAGTCAGCATTGTACAAACACAATACAATATGGTTAGTACTACCAACAATCAATACGAAACTAACGATTTTAAATTGGCTCACCACTTTAGTAGCCTATTGGTCCCAAGCAAACGATTAACGTACCCTATTCTAGTCGAAATTCTAGTACTACGCAATGTTTGTTTTGATTCGCTATGAAAGTTTGACATATAAAATGAGGGGTTATTGGTTTTACCTATGTTTCGAGGAGTGATTCGACAAGCTTGGGACCGAAGATAGTACCAGAGGTGAGCCAAAAAGTTGAGCACGCTTCTTCGGGACCTACTTGTCTTAGAGTTACCTCTATGGTACTACTATTAACCAAAGAAAACAGATGATTACAAGAATTCTCAGTTGGAAAATATTGATAGTGGAAAGTACTATTGCATTTGCCCTTCTGAATGGTTAAAAATACTGCACGGTAAAATATATGGTTAAAACTACTACGCCATACATTTTTTTGCAAAATGATACAATTTACTATGCTCGTGGTCAATGTAAGCAATTTATATTATCAGAAAAAAAACATAGATGCCTTGCGCTTAATTTAACCCCTCCATATGGTAATTTATACCACACATTTTCTTACAGTATCCCTTCGCTAGTCCGATGACTCAATCTCGGACTCAAAAATTCGGCAAATGAAGTTTTCATTTACAGTTTTCGGCAATAAAGCGAAAAAATACCGAAACATCTGTAATTTTTAGGATAACCGATCTAAAACGGTAATTTTTTTACCGAACACTCAGGCCCCCGTATTCTGCGAGTCACGTGACTCTCTCTCACCGGTGAGGTGACAATAGTCACCTCGTGTGAGGTGACTCTCCATTTGATTTACATGGAGAGTCACCTCACACGAGGTGACAATTGTCACCTCACCGGTGACAGAGAGTCACGTGACTCGCAGAATAAGGGGGAGGGTCTTTGCTCGGGTCTTTGTTTAAGTGTGCGGAGATATTCAAAATTCTGCTTTGGCCACTCATTTGAGCTAACCATCGTCAAGGCAAACCATGTCAAATGTCAGTGACAATGCTGTCAGTGACGAGCATGCGTTGATTTTTTTTTATTAACTAAATTTGAAACTAAATTAAATGCAGAAGCATATACGTTCTGAACTGCTTAGATAACAATATTGTGACTCACGAAATTACACTTTTTACTACCAGGAGAATCTCTGCCATTGACGAAACAATGAATGAGATTTTGACAAAAGTTTTTTTTGAGGATCAAGCCTTTGTGACTATGTGATGAACAATTTTGTAAATATCTCGAGAAAGTCTGTCAATGACAATGACGACTGGATGGGGGTCTTTGCAGAAGCTCAAAGATGTTGAGATATCTTCGTACAATTAAATTAGATGAAAAAAAATATGGAGTTTGAAATAAATTCAAGGATCTTCGTAGAAGTTCAGGATATTTTTTAAAACTTAAGGTAGTTTTGTAGATGCTCAAGGAACGTTGAATAGATTACAGGATATTCTTTCAGACATCCGTCGTAGACAGTAGGAAATATTAAAAAAATCTCCAACTATTAGTAAAGTTCTTTGGATATTTTTTCATGACTTCTTGTTGATCAAGTTCTGAGGAACTCCAACTGTTAGAAAGTACAAATGACGTCTCTCATATATTCTTCCAAGTTTGGAAGTTGATCAGAAAGTATTCAAAAGTACTTCAGGCAATCGAATCCGATGGAATCTTCAATGTTGATTCTAGATTTTGTGGAAATATGTTTGTGTATTTTCTTTAGGTAAAACCCGTACCCTATTTAGCGATTTTGTCTAAAATTGGCACTCCAGGATAGTTTGGATGGCTTAGAACATTGAGTAATTCTCGTTGAAACCAGACCGCCATTCACCGTGGTCTTTAAACATTTAAATATATCCGCTTTATTGGTCGAAACTGATGAAAAAAATTAGATTGCCACTTTCCTTAGCTCAAATTAATCGACCCCTCACACGCCAAGGGCCTTCAGTTTTCAAAAAAGATGAATTTCTAACAATTCATGACATATTTATCATGTTAAATCTTTGAAATTATAAACGGAACAATCCTGCAAACAACACGTTAATATGAAGAGGAAGGATAGGGCTCTCTTTCGGAATGGAAATTTTTTGGCAGCGATTCATATTTTTTTTTTTATTCTCGCTAGGCTGGTTGACCTGCTTCAATTCTGTGAGGATTGTGATAAGTAGCAGTTTAAATAATGGCTGAAGATTACTTAAGGATCATGTTTTTGCTTAAAAACAAACTATTGATTATATAACTTGGCTTTCACAGAGCGAAAATTTTATTCTATTGCTGAAAAATATTGTTCATACATGGTTTTCGTCGTTATTAGCTTATCGTAAATCATAATATTTTTGTAGCGACCATTTTTGTGTTCTTCTGTTACAAAAAAAAAAAAGAAAAGAAAAAAACAAGACAATTTGGTGATAACCTTACTCCGTCAGTTGAAGGTTCGCTTCATCGTTAAACGCCAAGCCGAGGTCACTTTGTCCCGTTTTCTATCTGCGCCACATGACCGTTCCTCTCTTCGAATACGAAATCTGGATGCGTAGCCTTGAGAGATTCCTTAAATGCATACAGATAGAAGTTGACCCGCTGCACCGTTGAACTCTCACCCATGATTCCGGCACGCCACGCAATCTCCCACGTGGGCCCGAAGCCACCCTGTACCTCCAGTGAGTAGCTGGAAAATAATGAACGTGAGTCCGACCACTGAAATAGTTTCTAAAGATTAACACCTACTTATCCATGGCATATTGAGAAACCTTCCACCAGTTGATGCCATCTGGGATCATAATACAGGTCACGGTAGGCAGACGATGCTTTGGATCTTTAACGAAAACATTCAGACCCATCGCGTTCAGTCCACGGTACATCAGCTCAGCACATTCCATCCGACGTCGGATGACCGACTCGAGGCCTTCTTCGGCGACTTGAGCCAAAGCTTCACGGAGTGCAAAAATCAGGTTGCTCGGTACGGTGTGGTGATACCTGAAGCGTTCAATCGAAAACCAGACTCAAATAAGTCCTAGATAGGTACAATCAGAAAATGGCGCTTACCTCTTCTGCTCATCGTAACATCCCCAATAGTTACCCAGAATTAGCAGGTCCCAGTAGAATACCTTGGATTGAGTCTTCCTGGCCCGAATCAATTCTCTGTAAAAGACCCAAATTTGATTATTGTCAGTCTACAAAAAATTAAAAATAACTTACAAAGCCCTCGAACTTATGGATATGGGTGTGATTCCGGGTGGGGCGCCCAGCACCTTCTGCGACCCGGTGTAGACCCCATCGATTTCCCATTTGTCCGTGTAGAATGGGACACCGCACAGACTGGCCACGGCATCTACCAACAGAAGACAGTCGTAGTCGTGGCAGATCTTCCCCAACCCTTCCAGAGGTTGCAACAGCCCCGTGGATGAGTCTCCGTGCACTACAAATAGACACTTCGGCCTATGTTGCTCGATGGCCTTCTTCAAATCGATCAACGAAAAGGGCTTATCGGCAGGTCCTTTCAGCACTCGTACGTCCGCACCGTAACGGGTGGCCATGTTGACCGCTCGATCACCCCAGACTCCGTTGACGGCTATCAGCACAATGTCGCCCTCTTCCAGAAGATTACACAGCAGGGCTTCCATTCCGGTGTGTGCCGAACCGGTTATGCACATGGTGGTTCGGTTTTCGGTCTGGAAGACGTACCGCAGGCCGTCCTTCACTTCATCGATCACTTGAAACAGCTCGTCGTGGAAATTACTCAGGCAGGTATTGTTCATGGCCGATAGTACACGTTTGGTGCAATTGGAGGGTCCTGGGCCCATCATGATCTTTTCCGGTATGTTGAGCGGCTCACGAAGGGTTGTCGGCGGCGGGGTGAATTTCATTGTGATGCTGGAATGAGCAAGAATATGCCAATTCAGTTAGTTGTGCGACATAGACTTAAGTAGAAATCAACGTCTGCAAAAAAAAACTGATAAGGGTGGTGACGGCTTCGCCATATCTTTGCCTATTATTGTCCCCTGACGATAACCGGTAAAGAAGTTCTGAAGCCGTCATTTTCTCTACCTAAAGATTGTACTCGAATAAAAATGCAACACGTTCTTTTGTGTATAACTTTTTATTGCATGAGGAAAAATTGATGAAATTTTAACCAAAACTAGTTTAGAGTGTAATGTTTACATGTGCAAAATTTCATCACGATTTGTCAAGTGGTTATCGAGATGGCTTCCAAGCAAGAAGCGCTTCGACAAAAAAATATGGTCGTGGAAAATCGTAAATTCGACAGTGTCCCGTGTGGTAAAATCGTTCAAGAAGACCCAGACGACCCAGCGGCGAGCTGGCAGCGGAAGAAAAGCGAAGACGCCTGACCCCGTGAACGCAAGGAAGGTAATGAATTTCGATTCAGCATGTGGCCATGAAGTTCAATTATTCCGTCTGGTTCGTCCAGCAGACAATGAAGCGGGCCGGACTTCATGTCTTCAAGGTAAGGAAGGCTCCTAACCGAACCGATAAACAGAATACGGTGGCAAAATCCCGTGCCAGGAAGCTGTACCGCGAGTGGTTGGTGCAGCCGAAATGCACCGTAATGGACGACGAGACGTACATTAAAGCGAACGCCAAGCAGATCCCCGGCCTGGAGTTTTTTGTCGGCAAGTCCCGCCTGGATGTTCCGGAGAAGTTTCGGAAGAAGAAGGTCGACAAATTTACCTACACACAAACCAGATACAATATTACATCAATGGATGTAATTTTGTTCGCAAAATCGATGTACATCGTTCAACGTAATATTACACAACCGGCGGAATGATCTCTGTGCAACTGTTTTGATGTAATATTCAACAACTTTTTTCTGTGTAGAAGTATTTAGTGTGGCAGGCGACCTGTGGGTGTGGCAAATTCAGCAAGCCGTACATAAAGACCGGCACCATCAACGACCAAATATATAAAGAAGAATGCCTCCAGAAGCGCCTGCTGTCCTTCCTCCGGTCCCACCAAGGTGGCACTCTGTTTTGGCCGGATCTGGCATCATGCCATTACGCGAAACCAACGATGTTGTTTTTGAGCCGAAGGAGGCAAATTCGGAGGCAAATCCGCCAAACTCGCCAGAACTTCGCCCAATAGACAAATTCTGGGCGGTTATGAAGGGCAAGCTCCGGAAAACAGGGAAGGTCTTCAAATTACGACAAGGATTTGAAGAAAGAGTGGATGAAAGTGTGTAAGAAAGATGGCGCAAGTGTTGCACAGGATTTCATGAGTTGCGTTAAGTCCAAGGTGTGGAGAGAAGGTAGAATAAACCAACTTTGCAAAATCATAGCAAATAAGGCTTGTACTCGAAAAAAATGCACCATTTTTATCCGTGAGTAACTTTTTTATCCATGGGTAAAAATTGATGAAAATCTGGGAATAATTGTTTGTAGTGAATTGTTTACATGTGCAAAATTTCATAACAATCGGTTCAGTGGCTGTTGAGATGTCATCGAAACAAGAAGAAAATCGCCGGAGAATTTTGCGCGTCGTCATGGGAAATCCGACTGCGACTGGATCGGAAGACAACTGGGAATCACCCATATAACTGTGTCTCGGGTGGTAAAATCGTTTAAGAAGTCCCAGACCATGCTTGGTATACACAGTTTTGGTCACGAACAGCTCATTTGCTAATAAATTTGAACACAGTTGACGAAACATAGTTCTTTTTGAAGTAGTAGATAGAATAGAGTTTAAGCTTGTTATAAATACGTAAAAAAAAGGAGATTTCAGTTGTCGTAATAAACTGTATTTGTTTTTGTGTTGTAAAAATGAAGTGAGAAATGCTCGCTGCATATCTCGGACATTAAGCTTAACAATTCATTGGTGTTGATTCAAATGTTCAGATTTACCTACTCTTTGCTTATCTATAGTAAGCTATGATTCTAATCTATCGATTACTTCAAAGAAAAACAAATTTCAACAACTGAGCGAAACATTATTAACAAATGAGCAGTTGGTGTGTACAACTGTGCATTCCAAGCATGTCCCAGACGACCGAGCGGCGGGTTGGAAGTGGAAAAACAAATCGAAGACAGCTGACCCTGTGAAGGCCCGAAAGGTGTTGGATTATTTCAAGCGTAATCCGAACCTTTCGATTCGCGACGTTGCTCTGAAGGCAAAGTGTTCCGCCTGGTTCGTTCAGCAAACCATGAAACGAGCTGGGCTTCGTGTATTCAAGGTCCGGAAGGCACCGAACCGGCGTGATCAACAAAACACGGCGGCCAAAACCCGCGCAAGGAAGCTGTATCGAGAGTGGTTAACGAAACCGATGTGTGTGGTTATGGATGATGAAACCTACATCAAGGCAGACGCAAAGCAGATACCGGGGCTGGAGTTCTACGTTGCCAAATCACGGTTTGATGTTCCGGAAGATATAAGGAAGAAGAAAGTGGACAAATTCGCCAAAAAATACTTGCTCTGGCAGGCCATATGCCAATGCGGTAAACTGAGTAAACCGTACATCACAATGGGTACCATCAACAGCGAAATTTACCGCACCGAGTGCCTCCAGAAGCGTCTGTTGCCCTTCCTGCGGTTCCACGGAGGCGGGACATTATTTTGGCCGGACCTGGCATCATGCCATTACGCGCGATCGACGTTGGATTGGTACAGAGACAATAACGTTGGATTCGTCCGGTGGAAAGATTTTGGGCCATAATGAAGGCCAAAGTTCGAAAATCGTCCAAGGTGTTTAAGAACGAGCTGGAGTTGAAGAAAGAATGTATGAAAGTGACCAAAAAGGTCGGCTCCACCATTGCACAAAATGTAATGGCGGGGTCTTAAGGGAAAGGTGCGGGCTTTCAGCGATGGAAAGGAAATTGAATAAAGTAATTATGCCAAAACATTATCCATATGTATTAGTTCATTCCCTGAAAGTTTCAAGAAAATCCGACTTAAAATCAAATTTTTGGCGAACACTTTTGTCTGGTGCATTTTTTTCGAGTACAGGCCTTATATGTTTATTTATTCCCTGAGAGTTTCGAAAATATTCGACTTAAAATTAATTTTTGGTGATAATTTTTGACTATTGTATTTTTTCGAGTACAATCTTTAGCCCTGCCTTACAAAGAAGCAAGCGAAGAAGTGTGGTTTCCTCAACGATTTTAACTCTCTTATGCCAATGACTTTAGTTTCACGTTTTAAAAGCGTATAGTTAAATTTATGTGATTGATTGCATTTTCCTCAATCGCTACTATTTTTGCAGATTGGACAGATCGAATGTCAGTAACTGTGAGATTTGTAATGATAGCATAAATTTGCAGCAATTTGAAATTAAAATTAAAAGGCTCCCAAATTAGCCAGCATCAATAATTGGAAGCGTCATTGAGTTAAACTATAATAAGGATTCTACTGAGATATTCTGAAAAAAAATAATCTCAATTAACTGTTCAGCTCAACCAAACCATCACTACCCGAACAACATGACGCGGCAGTCATTATCATTACATGGTCATTATCAGTTTTCCAGCAAAAAAAAGGACTTATTTGTCTATTACATGTTATTTATTTTGCATTCCTTTAAGTTGTTATTTTATTCGATTACTTATCAGGATCAATTGTGCCGCCGATCAGTGGCTGTATTTGAGTAATTATTGTAAGTAAATGAGCCAAAACCTCTAGTCAAGGTTAACACACCGACGTTCTTAAGGGACATGAGGAAGTTACTAGAATTTCAAAGCTCGCAATTTAAGGCTGTGAACCATTTGCCGAGTTAAATTTAACTCGTGGTTAAAAGTGACATTTCGAAAGTTATTTTCTATGTTCGAAAATCCCCGTGCTGTCGATCGACCGGTTTTCGAGCCACGGTTGTCAAAATTTAACTTCTTGTCTGTCAGAAATAACCATGCTCGGATAGCAGGGTTAATCGATAACTTTTCATCTGTCAAATTTTAACCAAAAGTTAAAATAATCCACCAAATGGTTCAGAGCCTAAATGAAGCATGTTGATGTATTGTTTTTGTTTTGTTTTTCAGAAGATGAAAATGAAAGCATGTCGATTATTAACGATGAGGTATAAACAGGTGTGGCACAAGGGGTTATTTATTGGTATTAGTAGGAAAAAAGAGGTGAACAATCGCTGATGACGAAAAACTCAAACATTACGATGCTCTGAAAGGTGCACGAAAGGTATTGCAATAAAATTTAAAATATAATCGAAGAAATGATCATAAACACGCAGTGAGCATTTAATTGTCATGAAATACGTTCGGTAATGATCAGTAATGAGAATTTCTACTACTTTTTGTTAAGATAATTTGACAAATTCACTGATATAATGATTTTTTTCAGCCGCTATTTTTTCTCTTGCTAGAAGTCATTTGAAGTTGATGTAGAAGTCCTCTGTTGTCAAGTGAAAAGAAAGGGAATCTTTCGAAAACCGTGATGCGAGTTCAACTGTTTTTCTCTTGGCATGACTCATTATACACCGACGCTAGTCTAATCATAACAAGTAAGTGTGAGTAGAACCATAGAGGTAACTCTAAGACCGGAAGGTCCCGAAGAAACGAGCTCAACTTTTTGGCTCAGCTCTGGTTTCGGTCCCAAGCTAATCGATGCACCCTTCGAAACATAAGAAAATCCATGAACCCCTCATTTTATCTGTCAAACTTTCATGGCGAATCAAAACAAACATAGTGTAGTACTGGAATTTATACTAGAATAGGGTACGTTAATCGATTTGCTTGGGACTAATAGGCTAGTCAAGTAGTGAGCCAATTTAAAATCGTTAGTTTTTCGTTTAGTTTCTTGATTGTTGGTAGAACGAACGGAATACGGAACCAAAAAAGGGAGAAACAAAAAAAAATGCATCTCCGCTAGCAGACAGACAGAGAAAGTCGATTAAACGTAAAAAAAACCTATCCGTT